TCTATAGTCTAGTCTATAGTCTAGTCTATAGTCTAGTCTATAGTCTAGTCTGTAGTCTAGTCTATAGTCTAGTCTATAGTCTAGTCTATAGTCTAGTCTATAGTCTAGTCTATAGTCTAGTCTATAGTCTAGTCTATAGTCTAGTCTATAGTCTAGTCTATAGTCTAGTCTATAGTCTAGTCTATAGTCTAGTCTATAGTCTAGTCTATAGTCTAGTCTATAGTCTAGTCTATAGTCTAGTCTATAGTCTAGTCTATAGTCTAGTCTATAGTCTAGTCTATAGTCTAGTCTATAGTCTAGTCTATAGTCTAGTCTATAGTCTAATCTATAGTCTAGTCTATAGTCTAGTCTATAGTCTAGTCTATAGTCTAGTCTATAGTCTAGTCTATAGTCTAGTCTATAGTCTAGTGTATAGTCTAGTCTATAGTCTAGTCTATAGTCTAGTCTATAGTCTAGTCTATAGTCTAGTCTATAGTCTAGTCTATAGTCTAGTCTATAGTCTAGTCTATAGTCTAGTCTATAGTCTAGTCTATAGTCCAGTCTATAGTCTAGTCTATAGTCTAGTCTAGTCTAGTCTATAGTCTAGTCTATAGTCTAGTCTATAGTCTAGTCTATAGTCTAGTCTATAGTCTAGTCTATAGTCTAGTCTATAGTCTAGTCTATAGTCTAGTCTATAGTCTAGTCTATAGTCTAGTCTATAGTCTAGTCTATAGTCTAGTCTATAGTCTAGTCTATAGTCTAGTCTATAGTCTAGTCTATAGTCTAGTCTATAGTCTAGTCTATAGTCTAGTCTATAGTCTAGTCTATAGTCTAGTCTATAGTCTAGTCTATAGTCTAGTCTATAGTCTAGTCTATAGTCTAGTCTATAGTCTAGTCTATAGTCTAGTCTATAGTCTAGTCTATAGTCTAGTCTATAGTCTAGTCTATAGTCTAGTCTATAGTCTAGTCTATAGTCTAGTCTATAGTCTAGTCTATAGTCTAGTCTATAGTCTAGTCTATAGTCTAGTCTATAGTCTAGTCTATAGTCTAGTCTATAGTCTAGTCTATAGTCTAGTCTATAGTCTAGTCTATAGTCTAGTCTATAGTCTAGTCTATAGTCTAGTCTATAGTCTAGTCTATAGTCTAGTCTATAGTCTAGTCTATAGTCTAGTCTATAGTCTAGTCTATAGTCTAGTCTATAGTCTAGTCTATAGTCTAGTCTATAGTCTAGTCTATAGTCTAGTCTATAGTCTAGTCTATAGTCTAGTCTATAGTCTAGTCTATAGTCTAGTCTATAATCCAGTCTGTAGTCTAGTCTATAGTCTAGTCTATAGTCTAGTCTATAGTCTAGTCTTTAGTCTAGCCTATAGTCTAATCTATAATTTAGACTATAGTCTAAACTATAATCTAGTCTATATTCGATTCCATAGTCCAGTCTATAGTCTAGTCTATAGTCTAATCTAGGCTATGTCTAGGTAATGCAAATGCATCCAGTAACCAATTTTTTTACTGGAATTTAAAGTTAAGTAAAGTAATAAAATCTAACGTTTTAATCTGGCGCTAAAAATTAATTACTTAAACAAAACTAAGTTTAGATATAAATTTGAAGGTTTTTCAATTAAGATTTAGAGCAAATGATAAGTTCAAGCAGTAGTTTCACAACAAATGTTTTATAAAAATAATTACAATAAGCAATTGTCAAGAAAACAACATGATTACATCAACTCCAACTGGGCTGTGAGTGAATGAATGAATGAATGAATGCTAATGAAACAAAATCTAGTCCCGAATAAGAAAATGCTGAAAAAAAAATACTTCAATAACATGACAAAAAACATGACTCTTTAAGGAATTTAAACTCTTATAATGCTGGTGGTGTTTCACCTAGCGGTTGCCACCTTGTTTTGCCCAAATCCAATACAACTTTTAGCTGATTATTTGCTTGTTCTTACTTATCAAATATCCACTATTTAGTTAATAAAATAAAACTATGAAATAAATTATCGTTTGAAAGTCGCCTTAAGTGTAGAATATGTTTGTTTATTTTTCGTGTAATGAAAACAAAAATGACATGACATGAAAAGTTACATGGCAATATGGTTGGTATAGTTTAGATTATATGGCAATGATCATAATGACAACTGCCTTGAAAATGTCAATCTGTTTTAAATTTTTTTTTATTTAATAATTTTTTTGTATTTCTTTTGTCTGAGCTAGAATATATTGAAATAAAACGAATTATTAGAATTTTTGTTTGGCACCGCCAAAAACATTAGCACACAGTAGTTGCTGTAGAATAAAAAAATTAAAAACATTTACAAATAAAAAAATTACTAGAAATCAAGGTTAAACAATTGTTTTTAAGAAAAAATTTTAAATTTTCAAAAACCTGTAAGATTTTTTTCTAAAACAAAAAAAAAGACAACTCAATTAAGAACAATGCATGTGAATTCTTTTATTTAATTTTATTTAAATGTGCAATTTTTAGTATAATATATGTAAACAACAACACTAAAAAAACCTGATTGTCAGGAACTTTTCTATTGAAAAGTAGACCAGTCTATCAGAATTATTTTGACCAGATTAACTGAAACATTTCCATAGAAAAGTTAACCAGACTGTCGGAAACTTTTCATTACAATGAAAGGAACTTTTTTTTTAAACAAATGGCCATACTTTCTGAAATTTATCTATAGAAAATTTTACCAGACTGTAGGACATTTTTGTACTGTAAATTTGACCAGACTGTTAAAAATAACTGCAAAGAAAAGGAACTCTTCAAAAAAGGTTAAAAAATTTCTCTAGTCTAGTTGACCAGATTGTCGTAAACTTTTCTATAGAAAAAAAGTTCCAAATATCAGCTTATCTAAAGAAAAGAACTGCCTACTTTCAGCAACTTTTCTATAGAATAGTAGTGACGACTGTCAGCAGCTTTTCTATGAAAATTAGTGGCGACTTTCAGCAACTTTTCTATCGAAAAATAGTGACGACTGTCAGCAACTTTTCTATAGAAAAATAGTGACGACTGCCAGCCACTTTTCTATAGAAAAGTAGTGACGACTGCCAGCCACTTTTCTATAGAAAAGTAGTGACGACTGCCAGCCACTTTTCTATAGAAAAGTAGTGACGACTGTCAGCAACTTTTCTATAGAAAAGTAGTGATGAATATCAGCAACTTTTCTATAGAAAAGTAGTAATGAATGTCGGAAACTCTTCTATAGAAAAGTAGTGACGAATGTCAGCAACTTTTTTATAGAAAAGTAGTGCCGACTGTCAGCAACTTTTCTATAGAAAAGTAGTGCCGACTGTCAGCAACTTTTCTATAGAAAAGTAGTGCCGACTGTCAGCAACTTTTCTATAGAAAATAGCGACGACTGTCAGCCACTTTTCTATAGAAAAGTAGTGACGACTGTCAGCCACTTTTCTATAGAAAAGTAGTGACGACTGTCAGCCACTTTTCTATAGAAAAGTAGTGACGACTGTCAGCCACTTTTCTATAGAAAAGTAGTGACGACTGTCAGCAACTTTTCTATAGAAAAGTAGAGCCGACTATCAGCAACTTTTCTATAGAAAAGTGGCTGACAGACGTCACTACTTTTCTGTAGAAAAGTAGCTGACAGTCGGCACTACTTTTCTATAGAAAAGTTGCTGACAGTCGGCACTACTTTTCTATAGAAAAGTTGCTGACAGTAGGCACCACTTTTCTATAGAAAGATAGTGACGACTCTCAGCAACTTTTCTATAGAAAATTAGTGACGACTGTCAGCAACTTTTCTATAGGAAAGTAGTGACGATTGTCAGCAATTTTCTATAGAAAAGTAGTGACGACTATCAGCAACTTTTCTATGGAAAAGTAGTGACGACTGTCAGCCACCTATCTATAGAAAAGTAGTGCCGACTATCAGAAACATTTCTATAGAAAAGTAGTACCGACAATCAGCAACTTTTCTATAGAAAGTAGTACCGACAATCAGCAACTTTTCTATAGAAAAGCAGTGACGACTATCAGCAACTTTTCTATAGAAAAGTATTTCCGATTGGCAGTAATTTTTCTATAGAAAAGTAGTGCCGACTTTCAGTAACTTTTGTATAGAAAAGTTGTGCTGACTGTCAGCAGCTTTTCTACAGAAAAGTAGTGCCGACTGTCAGCAACTTTTCTATAGAAAAGTAGTGATGACTGTCAGCAACTTTTCTACAGAAAAGTAGTGCCGACTATCAGCAACTTTTCTACAGAAAAGTAGTGCCGGCTGTCAGCAACTTTTCAATAGAAAAGTAGTGCCTACTGTCAGCAACTTTTCTATGGAAAGGTAGTTCCGACTATCAGCAACTTTTCTATGGAAAGGTAGTTCCGACTGTCAGCAACTTTTCTATAGGAAAGTAGTGCCAACTGTCAGCAATTCTTCTATAGAAAAGTGGCACTACTTTGTCAGCAATTGTTCTGTAGAATAGTTTACAGTAATAAAAAGTTCTTTAGAACTATGTTTTAGCCTTAATATATTATATTACCTTTAAAAAATACTAACATTATTTATTTATACATTTTGAAAAAAATGAAGGGGCTGGCACCGCAAACACTATTGGCAATAATAGTTTAATGTAAATATTAGTTTGGTTTTCAGTTTTCCTTCAAACACTTTTTTATTAAATTGGCTTTTTATTTAACTTTAAAAATTAAAAATTGTTTAATACCTTTAATTAATTTGCTCAAGCCTATAATTTGTTAGTTTATAAAGCTTTTTTTTGTGGTTTCGAAATTTCATGTTATTTTACGTTTTTTAACTTTTTCTAATTAAAAATGTCTCACGCGATTTTTATGTTATTTTATTAAAGTTTTTTTCCTTTTAATTTTATTACAACAAGTTGATTGATTGGAAAATTCTAAATAAATACAGTGTAAAAGGCATAACATTAAATAAAATATTTGAAATTTACGTAATTAAAAAAAAAAACTTTAAACATTTATTTAATTTAAAATATTTGTTAATTTTTATTTAAGGTGTTAGATTGTTAAATAAATCATGTAAATAGAATATAAAATAATATTTATTGTTAAGTAATTAAGCTCTTTGTTTAATTTTTATTATCACTTCTGTTTGATTTTTGAATTAAACTTTTTTAAATAGTTTTTTTTAACATTCCTGTGGTGTTACACACTCATTTTTGCTATTAAGCAAATATCCTGGTTTACATTGGCAGCCGATAATACACTGCAAAGTGCAGATCTTAGCGGGTTCATCATTACACTTGGGTGGACAAGCTGAACCACAGTTGGTGAATTGTTGATTTTTACCACATTGTTCTAATTAATAAAGATAAACCGATTAAAATATTTTCTATACAAACTTTGAAAGGATTAATTCAACACACCATCTGCTTGAATAGCCACTACTAAAATGACTACAGCAAATAATAAGAAAATATGTTGAGATTTAAACATTTTAAAAAATTTTTTTTATTTTTAAATGAAAATATTGTTTTCTATATGACAACTGTTCAGAGCTAACTAATTTGTTGCATTGAAAATTTTATAGTATTTATACTTTAGTTATTATTTGTTTAAATTCTCTTAAACAAATTATATATTAAATATTGTTTTTTTTTCATATTAGTTAATAATCAAATAATCATTGTGCTAAATAAAAAAAGTACATATTTATTGACTGCAATCTGAGGGGAATTTAGGAAAATTTGTTAATCGATCCCCATAATAATAATTGTTTGCTTTTAATAGCTACGTTCCTGTCTGCTGCTGACAACCGCAAAAAGTTAGAAATTATTACCGTCTGGATGATTTGTTTTCAGTGATTTTTAGCAAGTACATACATACCGATATAACATGTTAATATATATTTTTATAATGAATACTAAATCTAGTATGTAACTTAATTACAGAATGTTTAAAATACTTATTTCTCAAAACTTAATTAAAAAGTTAATTATTAAGTAATTAAATGCGATTTTTAATTAGTGAAAATCCCCTTTTAAATAATCAAAAATTCAAAACAATTTATGGTCGTTCTAAACATTTTACTTAATTAATCTTAACAGCAACTTTTCTATAGGAAATTAGTAACCAGCAACTTTTCTATAGAAAAGTAGTGACCACTAACAGCAACTTTTCCATAGAAAAGTAGTGCCGACTGTCAGCAACTTTTCTATAGAAAAGTAGTGCCGACTGTCAGCTACTTTTCTATAGAAAAGTATGGCCGACTGTCAGCAACTTTTCTATAGAAAAGTATGGCCGACTGTCAGCAACTTTTCTATAGAAAAGTATGGCCGACTGTCAGCAACTTTTCTATAGAAAAGTATGGCCGACTGTCAGCAACTTTTCTATAGAAAAGTATGGCCGACTGTCAGCAACTTTTCTATAGAAAAGTATGGCCGACTGTCAGCAACTTTTCTATAGAAAAGTATGGCCGACTGTCAGCAACTTTTCTATAGAAAAGTATGGCCGACTGTCAGCAACTTTTCTATAGAAAAGTATGGCCGACTGTCTGCAACTTTTCTATAGAAAAGTATGGCCGACTGTCAGCAACTTTTCTATAGAAAAGTATGGCCGACTGTCAGCAACTTTTCTATAGAAAAGTATGGCCGACTGTCTGCAACTTTTCTATAGAAAAGTATGGCCGACTGTCAGCAACTTTTCTATAGAAAAGTATGGCCGACTGTCAGCAACTTTTCTATAGAAAAGTAGTGCCGACTGTCAGCAACTTTTCTATAGAAAAGTAGTGTCCATTGTCAGCAACTTTTCTATAGAAAAGAAGTCCCGACTGTCAGCAACTTTTCTATAGAAAAAAAGTGACCTCTGTCAGCAACTTTTCTATAGAAAAGTAGTGACTACTATCAGCAACTTTTCTATAGAAAAGTAGTGACCACTATCAGCAACTTTTCTATAGAAAAGTTGTGTCCATTGTCAGCAACTTTTCCATAAGAAAGTAGTACCGACTGTCAGCAACTTTTCTATAGAAAAGTAGTGCCAACTGTCAGCAACTAATCTATAGAAAAGTAGTGCCGACTATCAGCAACTTTTCCATAGAAAAGTAGTGCCGACTGTCAGCATCTTTTCCATAGAAAAGTAGTGCCGACTGTCAGCTAGCTACTTTTCTATAGAAAAGTAGTGCCGACTGTCAGCAACATTTCTGTATAAATGTAATGTCGACTTTCAGCAATTTTTCCACTGAAGAGTTGTAGCAACTATCAGAAACTTTTCTGAAGAAAAGTAGTAACGACAGTCTTCAAATAATATTGAAAAAACTTTAGATTCAAACAAATACTCTAGGTTAGTGTAGTGTATTTTTAATGCTAAATATTTGTTTAAAACTTTGATTAATAGATGTTAAATAAATAACTGCAATAACAATTAGTATTAAAATTAAATACACCATTTCCATTTAAAATTCGACTATTTCCATATTTTCTCTTTAACAATCACTCGGTTCCACACAATCACCTTTATCATTTAACACAAAACCATTAATACATTTACAACCCGATCTACACCAAAAAAGACAACTTTTAGGATTAGGATTACTGCAGGTGGGCGGACAAGTTGAAAGACATGTTGTAAATTCTTGATTTGGAGGACAAGCTGAAATGCATAAAAGAACTTGTGAAAATAATTGATCTTTTAACGATTTCTTTAAATACTTACAATCTTGACAGGAAGCTAGAAATATTAGACTAGATAATAAAAGTATTAGTTTTGCAAACTGTAACATGGCTCGTAAACTTGTGAGGTTTAGAATAATTACTAATATATTAAAAGATAACTTTTAATGATTTATATAGTGGTAGTCAGGTTTATTGTTTTCGATAACTTTATAGCTTTTCAGACACGATTTAAATTATAATTATATTGTAAAAATTTGGGAATTAGGGCGTATCGCAACTTTTCTATAAGAAATTGTTAAAAGTGTTTATCGGCAACATTTCTATTAAAAACTTGCTCAGAACATAGAAAACTTTTCTAAAAGTTGTCCAGAATGTCGGCAACTTGTCTACTGAAATGTTTTACAGAGTATCGGCAACTTTTACATTAAATATTAGTTCAAAGTATCAGTAAGATTCCTATTAAAAAGTTTTCTAGAGTATCTGCGACTTTTCTATAAAAAAAAAGTTCTTCAACATATTGAAAAGTTAACCAAAGTGTTTCTTGACGGTGTCGGCAACTTTTCTTTTGAAAAGCTATCCATACCTGCAACTTTCCTATTAAAAAGTAGTCCAGAACGTTAGCAACTTTTCTATTAAAAATTTGTTCAGATTGTCGGCAACTTTCTTATTAAAAATTTGTCTAGAATGTTGACAACATTGTAATAAAAATTTTATAGATTAACTGCGACATTTCTATAAAAAAGCTCTTCAAAACATAGAATAGTTGACCAGAGTATTTGTCGATAGTGTTGGCAACTTTTTTTATTTAAAATTGTCCACAAATTGTGAGACATTTCGATTGAACATATGTTAAGAATGTCGATAACTTTTTACTAAAAGTTATCCAGAGTATTGTCAACATTTCTATTGAAAATATATTGAGGGCATCGGCAACTTTTCTATTAAAACTTTGTTCTAAAAGATGTCTAGATTATTGTTAACATTTCTATTGAAAATTAGTTGAGAGTGTCAGCAACTTATTTTTCTAGAGTGCTGGCAACTTTGTTGAAAATTCATTCAGAGTATCGGCAAACTTTCTTATTAAAAATTTGTTGGCAACTTTGTAATAAAAGTTGTCTAAAGTATCGTCAACATTTTGATTGAAAATTTGTGAAGATTGTCGGCAACTTTTCTATTAAAGAGTTATACAGAGTGTTGGCAACTTTTCTAGATAGTTGCCCAGAATGTAAGAGATTTTTTATTCAAAATTTTCTAAGAGTGTCTGCAACTTTCTTATTCTAGAGAGTTGGCAACTTTGTTGAAAATTTGTTCAGAGTGTCGGCAAATTTCTTATTAAAAATTTATCTAAAGTGTAGGCAATTCTTTAATAAATGTTGTCCAGAGTATCGTCAACATTTCTATTGAAAATAGTATGAGAGTCTCGGCACTTTTTTAATTAAAAAGTTTTTCAGAATGTCGGCAACTTTTCTATTAACAATTTGTTCTATTTTCTTATAAAAAATGTATCTAAAGTAGGCAACAACTTTCCTTTAGAAAAGTTGTCCAGTCCAGCGAATTGACACACTTTCATTAATTTTTTGTTTTAAACATTTCTTTTTATATTATCCTTAACATTTTAAACAATTTATTCCTTATCCGTCCAACAATTTAACACAAGTTCGATTAACTAACAATCTCTTTGGGCCACACAATCGCCATTTGATTTAAGCATATAACCATCCTTGCACTGGCAACCAACAATACATTGATAAGTACAGAATTTGGGAGCTGGTTCACCACACTTAGCAGGGCAGGCAGTACCACAGGTTTTCCATTCTTGATTGGGAGGACATTGTTTGCCTAGAAAAGAAAATATTGTGATTACTAACTCCCCATAATTTCTTCAAATAATTACCTTGGGCTTGTATGGTGGCAGCAAATGCAAAAACAATAGCCAATACTAAGAAAATTTGTTGAAATAATTTGGCCATAATTTCTTTTTTTATTTTATTAATTTTTGTTTGAGAGAAATAACAAGTAAAGTGTTTGATTTTAAGTTTCAATAACAACTAATTTGTTTGTTATCAATACTAAGGCTTATATGCTTCTAAAATGTTGTACTTTAACATTAAGATTATTTATATATATGTATGTACATGTGTATATGTATGTACTTTTCTTATATATTAAAGCTCAGTTTGTGTGTTCTATTTCTCAAGTCTCTATTTCAAGTTCTTTAGAACTTGTTATTAATATATTAAAATTCTCCGAAATATCATATTTCAAATTAATAAATTATTGAAGATTAGGTATGAACAGTGTGATTAAAAATAATTCAAACACAAATACTATATTATAAATTTTTCATATATACATATTTATATACATTCATATAGTATGTATTAATTTGTATTTCTAATAAAATAAATCCTTTCACTTAACAATTCACTAGACTATAGACTAGACTAGTGGCCTCCGGTAGGTTAGTGGTTAGTGTTCTAGTCTGGTAGACCGGAGGTGGTGGGTTCGATTCCCACCTGAGGCACTGGTTAAGGAGCGCACAACAGGCCCGATAGAGGCCTAGGTGTATGTCTTCGGATTTGATGTACATATGTACATCCTCCTTTCAAACTAACTAACTAACTATAGACTAGACTATACACTAGACTAGTCTATACACTAGACTAGACTATAGACTAGACTATAGACTAAATTATAGACTAGACTATAGACTAAACTATAGACTAGACTATAGACTAGACTATAGACTAGACTATAGACTAGACTATAGACTAGAGTATGGATTAGACTATAGACTAGGCTATGGACTAGACTATATACTAGACTATAGACTAGACTTTAGACTAGACTATAGACTAGATTATAGCCTAGACTATAGACTAGACTATAGACTAGACTATAGACTAGACTATAGACTAGACTATAGACTAAACTATAGACTAAACTATAGACTAGACTATAGACTAGACCATAGACTAGACTATAGACTAGAGTATGAATTAGACTATAGACCAGGCTATGGACTAGACTATATACTAGACTATAGACTAGACTTTGGACTAGACTATAGACTAGATTATAGCCTAGACTATAGACTAGACTATAGACTAGACTATAGACTAGACTATACACTAGACTATAGACTAGACTATAGACTAGACTATAGACTAGACTATAGACTAGACTATAGACTAAACTATAGACTAGACTATAGACTTGAATATAGAATAGACTATAGACTAGACTATAGACTAGACTATATACTTGACTATAGACTTGACTATAGACTTGACTATAGACTAGACTATGGACTAGACTATAGACTAGACTATGGACTAGACTATAGACTAGACTATAGACTATAGACTAGACTATAGACTAGACTAGACGACTAGACTATAGACTAGACTATAGACTAGACTATAGACTAGACTATAGACTAGACTATAGACTAGACTATAGACTAGACTATAGACTAGACTATAGACTAGACTATAGACTAGACTATAGACTAGACTATAGACTAGACTAGACTAGACTATAGACTAGACTATAGACTAGACTATAGACTAGACTATAGACTAGACTATAGACTAGACTATAGACTAGACTATAGACTAGACTATAGACTAGACTATAGACTAGACTATAGACTAGACTATAGACTAGACTATAGACTAGACTATAGACTAGACTATAGACTAGACTATAGACTAGACTATAGACTAGACTATAGACTAGACTATAGACTAGACTATAGACTAGACTATAGACTAGACTATAGACTAGACTATAGACTAGACTATAGACTAGACTATAGACTAGACTATAGACTAGACTATAGACTAGACTATAGACTAGACTATAGACTAGACTATAGACTAGACTATAGACTAGACTATAGACTAGACTAGACTAGACTATAGACTAGACTATAGACTAGACTATAGACTAGACTATAGACTAGACTATAGACTAGACTATAGACTAGACTATAGACTAGACTATAGACTATAGACTAGGCTATAGACTAGACTATAGACTAGACTATAGACTAGACTATAGACTAGACTATAGACTAGACTACCGACTAGACTATAGACTAGACTATAGACAAGACTACTGACCAGGTAATAGTCTAGACTATATATTAAATTATATACTTGACTGTTGTAGCTTAGACCGTAATAATATGAAATGCCTGGTTCCAAATTTAGATTAAAATCACAGTGCTCTTTGGTTGCATATTCAAAATATATTTGAAATACATTTTTTATTTTCTTGCATATATGTGTGTATGTATGTAAGTATGTGTATTTACATATTTAGTTGGAATATTATTTAAAACAAATCCTTTCATTAACAATCTTCTGGAAGTACACATTCATCTTTCGAGTTTAACATATAGCCACGTTTGCACTGGCAACCAATAACACACTGCATGGTACAGGCTCTGGGTTCCGATTCACCACATCTATCAGGGCAGGCAGAACCACATGAGTTAAACTCTTTGTTGTCACCACAATCTTCGGCTGGAAATGTATTAAAAAATTACAACAACAGAACAAAAGAATCAATAATTATTAAAGACTTAATAGTCAGTTTTTTAAAAAGGACTTTGTTGCCTTACCTTGTGTGGCTGCTGCGAAGGCAAGAACAAGGGCTAATACCAAGAAAATATTTTGGAATAATTTGGCCATATTTTTTTTTTTTTTTGTTTTTTAAATGAAGTTTGAAAGTTTGTAATTAAGTTTGAAAAACAACTGATTTTTAACTGACATTGCTGGTGCTTATATACTTACATTCTTGTTTACTTAAACTCCCTATTTGCACACATTTTCTTATATAAACATATATGTATGTACGTATGTATTCTATAGAATGCATACTACATATGCATCAGTGATGTGAAGTTTAAAAACAGTACTTTTATTTTGGTACCTAAATAAAAATATACTACTAGAGTATAGTATAGACTAGACTGCAATCTAAACTAGGCTATAGACTTAACTATAGAATTGACTATAGACTATAATGTAGTCCAGACTATAGACTAAGATTTGATATAGAATAGGCCATATAATAAACTATAGACCATAGATTATAGGATAGATTACGGACTAAACTATAGAATATACTATAGAATAGACAAGATTATAGACTAGACTAAAGACTAAACCATAGACTAGACTATAGACAAGATAACAGACTTCACTATGGACTAGACTATAGACTTCACAATAGAATTGGATATAGACTAGACTTTATACTAGACTATAGACTAAACGATTTATAAAGTACACTATAAACTTGACTATAGAAATGACTATAGACTAGACTACAGACTAAGCTATAAACTAGACTATAGACTGGGTTATATAATAGACTATAGGCTATACTATAGAATAGACTATAGACTACACTTCAAACTAAACTATAGACTGTATATTAGACTATAGAATAATCTATAATCTAGATTGTATGCCAGATTATAGTCTAGTCTATAGTTTAGTCTATAGTCTAGTCTATAGTCTAGTCTATACTCTAGTCTATAGTCTAGTCTATAGTCTAGTCTATAGTCTAGTCTATAGTCTAGTCTATAGTCTAGTCTATAGTCTAGTTTATAGTCTAGTCTATAGTCTAGTCTATAGTCTAGTCTATAGTCTAGTCTATAGTCTAGTCTATAGTCTAGTCTATAGTCTAGTCTATAGTCTAGTCTATAGTCTAGTCTATAGTCTAGTCTATAGTCTAGTCTATAGTCTATAGTCTAGTCTATAGTCTATAGTCTAGTCTATAGTCTATAGTCTAGTCTATAGTCTAGTCTATAGTCTAGTCTATAGTCTAGTCTATAGTCTAGTCTATAGTCTAGTCTATAGTCTAGTCTATAGTCTAGTCTATAGTCTAGTCTATAGTCTAGTCTATAGTCTAGTCTATAGTCTAGTCTATAGTCTAGTCTATAGTCTATCTAAGTCTAGTCTATAGTCTAGTCTATAGTCTAGTCTATAGTCTAGTCTATAGGTCTAGTCTATAGTCTAGTCTATAGTCTAGTCTATAGTCTAGTCTATAGTCTAGTCTATATCTAGTCTATAGTCTAGTCTATAGTCTAGTCTATAGTCTAGTCTATAGTCTAGGTATCGTCTAGTCTATAGTCTAGTCTATAGTCTAGTCTATAGTCTAGTCTATAGTTCTAGTCTATAGTCTAGTCTATAGTCTAGTCTAGTAGTCTAGTCTATAGTCTAGTCTATAGTCTAGTCTATAGTCTAGTCTATAGTCTAGTCCTATAGGCTAGTCTATAGTCAGGTCTATAGTCTAGTCTATAGTCTAGTCTATAGTCTAGTCTATAGTCTAGTCTATAGTCTAGTCTATAGTCTAGTCTATAGTCTAAGTCTATAGTCCCTAGTCTATAGTCTAGGTCTGATAGTCCTAGTCCTATAGTCCTAGTCTATAGTCTAGTCTATAGTCTAGTCTATAGTCCTAGTCTATAGTCTAGTCTATTCGTAGTCTAGTCTATAGTCTAGTCTATAGTCTAGTCTATAGTCTAGTCTATAGTCTAGTCTATAGTCTAGTCTATAGTCTAGTCTATAGTCTAGTCTATAGTCTAGTCTATAGTCTAGTCTATAGTCTAGTCTATAGTCTAGTCTATAGTCTAGTCTATAGTCTAGTCTATAGTCTAGTCTATAGTCTAGTCTATAGTCTAGTCTATAGTCTAGTCTATAGTCTAGTCTATAGTCTAGTCTATAGTCTAGTCTATAGTCCTAGTCTATAGTCTAGTCTATAGTCTAGTCTAGTCTAGTCTAGTCTAGTCTATAGTCTAGTCTATAGTCTAGTCTATAGTCTAGTAGTCTAGTCTATAGTCTAGTCTATAGTCTAGTCTATAGTCTAGTCTATAGTCTAGTCTATAGTCTAGTCTATAGTCTAGTCTATAGTCTAGTCTATAGTCTAGTCTATAGTCTAGTCTATAGTCTACTATAGTCTAGTCTATAGTCTAGTCTATACTCTAGTCTATAGTCTAGTCTATAGTCTAGTCTATAGTCTAGTCTATAGTCTAGTCTATAGTCTAGTCTATAGTCTAGTCTATAGTCTAGTCTATAGTGTAGTCTATAGTCTAGTCTATAGTCTAGTCTATAGTCTAGTCTATAGTCTAGTCTATAGTCTAGTCTATAGTCTAGTCTATAGTCTAGTCTATAGTCTAGTCTATAGTCTAGTCTATAGTCTAGTCTATAGTCTAATCTATAGTCTAGTCTATAGTCTAGTCTATAGTCTAGTCTATAGTCTAGTCTATAGTCTAGTCTATAGTCTAGTCTATAGTCTAGTCTATAGTCTAGTCTATAGTCTAGTCTATAGTCTAGTCTATAGTCTAGTCTATAGTCTAGTCTATAGTCTAGTCTATAGTCTAGTCTATAGTCTTGTCTATAGTCTAGTCTATAGTCTAGTCTATAGTCTAGTCTATAGTCTAGTCTATAGTCTAGTCTATAGTCTAGTCTATAGTCTAGTCTATAGTCTAGTCTATAGTCTAGTCTATAGTCTAGTCTATAGTCTAGTCTATAGTCTAGTCTATAGTCTAGTCTATAGTCTAGTCTATAGTCTAGTCTATAGTCTAGTCTATAGTCTAGTCTATAGTCTAGTCCTATAGTCTAGTCTATAGTCTAGTCTATAGTCTAGTCTATAGTCTAGTCTATAGTCTAGTCTATAGTCTAGTCTTTAGTTTAGTCTATAGTGTCTAGTCTATAGTCTAGTCTATAGTATAGTCTAGTCTTTAGTCTAGTCTAGTCTTTAGTCTAGTCTAGTCTATAGTGTAGTCTAGTCTATAGTCTAGTCTATAGTCGAGTCTACAATAGACTATAGACTGGACTATAGACCAGGCTATAGACTAGACTATGGACTAGACTATAGACTAGACTATAAACTAGACTATAGAATATACTATAGACCACACTTCAAACTAAACTATAGACTGTATATTAGACTATAGACTAATCTATAATCTAGATTGTATGCCAGATTATAGACTATATTTTTCAAAACTATAATATAGACTAGACTAGATTAGACTATGGACTAGATAATAAGCTAGACTATAGACTAGACTATAGATTAGACTATGGACTAGACTATAGGCTAGTCTAGAGACTAGACTATAGACTATGTGTTATTTTAACACAATTGCAGTCCTATATATATAGTTTGGAATCATATTTTTCAAAACTTTTAGAATCCAGTTTTTTGCATATTTAAACACATAATTTTACTTCATATATGTTAGTAATTGTGAATATATTAACTTGTATTATTAAGTACAAATATCCTTGAATTAACACGCTTCTGGAAGGACACATTCATCACTCTCGTTTAGTACATAGCCGTCTTGGCAGTGGCAACCAGGAACACACTGCAAGGTACATGGTTTAGGACCAGGTTCATCACATGTTGGGGGACAGGCAATACCACAATCATTAAACTCTTGGTTGGCGCCTTCACATTCTTCAGCTGGCAATGTAAAAAAATATATATGTGCATAAATATTTTAAATAGTTTCCTAAAAGGTTTTCAACAGAACACAACCAAATTGATAGTTTTAAAGAATAAAAGTTTTTTTACCTTGTGAAGCTGCTACTAAAGCTAGAACAATGCCGAATACCAAGAAAATATTTTGGAATAATTTGGCCATTTTTCTTTTTGTTTTCTAACGGAAGTTTGAAAGTTTGTAACTCGGTTGAAAAAACAACTGATTTCGAGACTGACATTGTTGGGCCTTAAATACTTGCTTTCTTATTTATTTACATTTCTAAATTATGCACATTTTTCTTTCATTAACATATCTATTTATGCAAAGTAGTGCATCCGATATCTGATTTGCATTATATTTGTTCTATTTCGTGCTTCGAATAATAATCACTTTGCAATTATTACAAAAATAAACGACATATACCTTTATGATTTATAGCCTAGTAACTCATCCATCTTTACTAGTCTAGTCTGGACTATATCCAGTCTATAGTCTTGTTTATAGTCTAGTCTACAGTCTAGTTTATAGTCAAGTCTATAGTCTAGTCTATAGTCAAATCTACAGTAGGCTTTATTTTCTAAACTATAGTGTATATTATGGACTGAACTTAATATAGACTAGAACATAGATCTTTTTATCATTACTACTCCTAAATACAAAATAAATTTTCATGAAAAAATTTTTTTAATAATTTTATTTCAATTAAAATAATGCTTATAATTTTTCATATTTGTATTATTAATTATAAGACAATTAATTAACACTCTTCTGGAGGGACACATTCGTTCTTTGCGTTTAGCATGTAGCCCCGTTTGCATTGGCAACCAACAACACAATTTGCGGTACAGGCTTTCATACCAAATTCACCACATCTAGAAGGACAAGCAGAGCCGCATGGGTAAAATTCCTGGTTGGGACCACAATGCTGGGCTAGAAATTATATAAATAATTTAGATTTATTAAACAATTTAAAACATATTTGCATATAACGTTTCAAGGATTATAATTGTTCCACTGTATTTGTTATACCTTGTACGGCTGCAGCAAAGACTAGAACAACAACGAAAACCAAGAAAATGTTTAGGAATTTTGGCATTTTTTTTTTTTGGACTGTAGATTTAAAATTTTAATTAAGGTGTTAAAAACAACTGATTTGTTATTAATACTGCTTGAGCTTATATACCTTTCTTTCATATTTGCTTAAGCTGCTTCTTTGTAAATTTGTTTTCTTATAAATATTTGTATAATATGCAGCTGTGATGGCATTTTTGATAAGAATATTAATTTCTAAATGACATTTTTGATACACTTTTAATGAAAGAAATATATTAAATTTTTAACATAGTCTATACAATAGACTGGACTATACTAGACTATTGACTAGACTATACTGGACTATAGACTATAGACTAGACTATAGAATAGACTATAGACTAGACTATAGACTAGACTATAGACTAGACTATAGACTAGACTATAGACTAGACTATAGACTAGACTATAGACTACTATAGACTACTATAGACTAGACTATAGACTAGAATATAGACTAGACTATAGACTAGACTATAGACTAGACTATAGACTAGACTATAGACTAGACTATAAACTAGACTATAAACTAGACTATAGACTAGACTATAGACTAGACTATAGACTAGACTATAGACTAGACTATAGACTAGACTATAGACTAGACTATAGACTAGACTATATACTAGACTATAGACTAGACTATAGACTAGACTATAGACTAGACTATAGACTAGACTATAGACTAGACTATAGACTAGACTATAGACTAGACTATAGACTAGACTATAGACTAGACTATAGACTAGACTATAGACTAGACTATAGACTAGACTATAGACTAGACTATAGACTAGACTATAGACTAGACTATAGACTAGACTATAGACTAGACTATAGACTAGACTATAGACTAGACTATAGACTAGACTATAGACTAGACTATAGACTAGACTATAGACTAGACTATAGACTAGACTAGACTATAGACTAGACTATAGACTAGACTATAGACTAGACTATAGACTAGACTATAGACTAGACTATAGACTAGACTATAGACTAGACTATAGACTAGACTATAGACTAGACTATAGACTAGACTATAGACTAGACTATAGACTAGACTATAGACTAGACTATAGACTAGACTATAGACTAGACTATAGAACTAGACTATAGACTAGACTATAGACTAGACTATAGACTAGACTATAGACTAGACTATAGACTAGACTATAGACTAGACTATAGACTAGACTATAGACTAGACTATAGACTAGACTATAGACTAGACTATAGACTACTAGACTAGACTATAGACTAGACTATAGACTAGACTATAGACTAGACTATAGACTAGACTATAGACTAGACTATAGACTAGACTATAGACTAGACTATAGACTAGACTATAGACTAGACTATAGACTAGACTATAGACTAGACTATAGACTAGACTATAGACTAGACTATAGACTAGACTATAGACTAGACTATAGACTAGACTATAGACTAGACTATAGACTAGACTATAGACTAGACTATAGACTATACTAGACTAGACTATAGACTAGACTATAGACTAGACTATAGACTAGACTATAGACTAGACTATAGACTAGACTATAGACTAGACTATAGACTAGACTATAGACTAGACTATAGACTAGACTATAGACTAGACTATAGACTAGACTATAGACTAGACTATAGACTAGACTATAGACTAGACTATAGACTAGACTATAGACTAGACTATAGACTAGACTATAGACTAGACTATAGACTAGACTATAGACTAGACTATAGACTAGACTATAGACTAGACTATAGACTAGACTATAGACTAGACTATAGACTAGACTATAGACTAGACTATAGACTAGACTATAGACTAGACTATAGACTAGACTATAGACTAGACTATAGACTAGACTATAGACTAGACTATAGACTAGACTATAGACTAGACTATAGACTAGACTATAGACTAGACTATAGACTAGACTATAGACTAGACTATAGACTAGACTATAGACTAGACTATAGACTAGACTATAGACTAGACTATAGACTAGACTATAGACTAGACTATAGACTAGACTATAGACTAGACTATAGACTAGACTATAGACTAGACTATAGACTAGACTATAGACTAGACTATAGACTAGACTATAGACTAGACTATAGACTAGACTATAGACTAGACTATAGACTAGACTATAGACTAGACTATAGACTAGACTATAGACTAGACTATAGACTAGACTATAGACTAGACTATAGACTAGACTATAGACTAGACTATAGACTAGACTATAGACTAGACTATAGACTAGACTATAGACTAGACTATAGACTAGACTATAGACTAGACTATAGACTAGACTATAGACTAGACTATAGACTAGACTATAGACTAGACTATAGACTAGACTATAGACTAGACTATAGACTAGACTATAGACTAGACTATAGACTAGACTATAGACTAGACTATAGACTAGACTATAGACTAGACTATAGACTAGACTATAGACTAGACTATAGACTAGACTATAGACTAGACTATAGACTAGACTATAGACTAGACTATAGACTAGACTATAGACTAGACTATAGACTAGACTATAGAACTAGACTATAGACTAGACTATAGACTAGACTATAGACTAGACTATAGACTAGACTATAGACTAGACTATAGACTAGACTATAGACTAGACTATACACTAGACTATACACTAGACTAGACATAGACTAGACTCTAGACTAGACTATAGACTAGACTATAGACTAGACTATAGACTAGACTATAGACTAGACTATAGACTAGACTATAGACTAGACTATAGACTAGACTATAGACTAGACTATAGACTAGACTATAGACTAGACTATAGACTAGACTATAGACTAGACTATAGACTAGACTATAGACTAGACTATAGACTAGACTATAGACTAGACTATAGACTAGACTATACACTAGACTATAGACTAGACTATAGACTAGACTATAGACTAGACTATAGACTAGACCATAGACTAGACTATAGACTAGACTATATACTAGACTATAGACTAGACTATAGACTAGACTATAAACAAGACTATAGACTAAAAACTGAACTATAGACTAGACTATAGACTAAAAACTGAACTATAGACTAGACTATAAAAGATTTGGCTATAAACTTGTCTATGGACTAAACTATAATTGAATATAAATAGATTAGACTATAGACTACATTATAGACTAGACTATAGATGAGACTAGACTAAAGACTATAATATAGACCAGATTATACACTAGACTGAGGACTATATTGCAGATTAGACTATAGACTAGTGTGTAGACTAGACTATACACTTGACTATAGAAATGACTATAGACTATACCATAGAGTAGGCTACAGACTAGTCTTTACACCAGATTATAGACTAGACTGTAGACGAGACTAGACTAAAGTCTATACTATGGACTAGATTATAAACTAGACTAGACTAATTTATAGACAACAGACTATACACTAGACTATACGCTAGACTTTATTTCTGGAATATACACTAGGTTATATTTTTACTTTTGTGCAATAATATTTTTTCATTACTAACCCGTTTTATGGAAGTGCCGTTTAAAAAGTGAGTTTAAAAATATTTTTTTGGTTTTTGGAAACAGTGTACAATAGTACTCTAAAGAATCTCTCAACTGAGATTTAATAGTAATGTTTACTGCTTTTTCAGTTAAATTTTTATTACATTTCATTAAAATATTAACTCTATTCGTGTTTAATTATTTAAATATATATTTTTTTAACAAAATTATGACAACTAAAAATAACACCTTTTTGTGAATTTAGTAGAAATTTATTATTATTTTTTTAGTATTAGAATTTGTTTAATATTTTGTTGAATAAATGTATATTTGTTTTTTTAGTATTTGTTTAATAATGACAAGTTTAACAAGTTTTGAGTTAAATTATTTAGTTAATTTATTTAAATATTATAAATAAAAATTAAACAAAAAAAGGAAATAATATAATTGCATGCTAAAATGTGTTGGGGTTATAGCCTGTTATCTAATTATTGTCTGACATGGCTAGATTTAGTGAATCAACTAGCGTTTAGCAAATTGTTTGATAAAATGAAATTGAAATTGATGAAATGAAATACTAAACTTTAGTTTAGATGTTATTACTCTAAGCCTTTGCTCTCAAGCTTAACAAAACTTATACATTTTCTGAGGTGGACAAGTGTAAATATGTTTTTTAATTACAGAGTAAATAGCCTAAATGCGTATTGATTAAATACTGATTAAACCAGACAAATTGTATATAAAAAAATAAACAATTTTTATAGACAGATGTTGTCTAAATTGTCAGTGAATGTTTTTTTTTTAAGTTTAAACATTTCTATTTGTGTTATCAGCTTTTTAAATGAGTAAATTCAAATTGTTTTTTTCTATTTACTGATGATGATATGTATTTGTTTTAATTGGGTTATTTTTGAAAAGAAAAAAAAAACTTTTGTTTACAAATATAAATTTGAAAAAAATTTTCAAGGTTTTTTAATTTTATTGAAAAATGTGTAAAAATTATTAATAAAAAAAAGTTTTATTTGACACACGTGAAAATGTGAAATAATGCAAATAAAACAGAACAAAAAACTGTTTTGAAATTTCGTTGTATTTTTTAGGCTAGAAATTTGTTCAACATTTGTTGTTAAAAAAGTTAAACATTAAAAAGATATGAAATGTGTCGGTAACATTGCTGCAACATATGAAACATATTAGCAACATTATCTATCTTCTATCTTCTTCTATTTGACATTCATCTGAACATTTAGAGTATAACGGGCGGACTTACAAAGGGGAACTTTGCACCTCTCATATGAATTAAATATAAAATTTCGTATATCTGGGAAACTAATAGAACTTGATTCTTAAAATTTTGTACAGAAGTGCTCTCTGTTCATATTACAAAACACGTTATCTGTCATTATTCTAGCAACATTTTTCCTCACAACTTTTTATATATCGATGTTGCTGATATGTTGCCAGAAACATTTCATACAAATTCATCGAATTTTTTCAAAAACTATTTAACATTTTCTATGGTTTAGTTATC